CGACGGTGCAAGTCCGTGTCGACGTCCCACATTACTTTTCTTTTCTCCCCGTTCTATCACCCGAATTAAAGCAACAAAATTTTTAGCTTACTCGGCATGCTCGCCATATTCACTAAGTAAAATTAGAACTGATTGAAACAATGGGGTGCTTTTATGCATACCGATAAAGGCATTAACATGATCGAGAAGAACACTTACGACGACCAGGTTCTCGGTAATTAGATTATTTCTGTGAAGGTAATTCCTTACTTTGTTATCTCACGTGCCCTTTTTTCTTTCGGTATACAGAGTGAGAAATTCATTATACAGAGTGGATTAGTACATACATACATAATAGTACAACAAATTTTGTTCATAATACAGAGTTTTACATTATACAGAGTATAGCTGTAGGCAGTTTCCACTGTACTTATATTAAATACAAAACATTTAATCTTTACATGTATAAAACACGTTATTTTAGATCGTTGTCATCAAAAGCAAAGGCGATATACTTCGAAACAAGGTATACCGCTATCCGTCCCGGGAATTTTCTACGTTTTTTGACAATCAAACTTAAATTGAATTAATTGGTTTAATCGGATAATACGCATTGAATTAACGTTTTTTCTGTCGAAATCAGCTTTCCAGTTGCCCTACGAAGGCTGGAAGAAGGGACACGGACCCTTCCTTATTTAATTCCGCGGACAAAGGGGATAATTCGTTTAAAATTAAAATTTATAAATTTTCTTTGACACTTTGAAATTGTCAATTTCGTGATGCAAATATATGCAATAGTTGCTATGGTAACCAGGTAAGGTGGGAGCAAATAAATCCCAACAAGAAATTTTTCCGGAATTCCCACGGCACTAAATGGTGAACAGCCTCTGATTTATTCAAATGTCCAAAGTTTAAAAAAAAGTAAACCTAATCGACTTACACACCATGGAATATAACCCCACTTTTCTCTGTTTGAAGAAGCACTGGCTCAAAAATACACAACTTAAAAATACCCACATTGACGGATATTCTCTGGTCTCTTGATTTGGATTTGGACCAGTTCCGTTACTTAACTTAATTAAAAAAATCTATTCCTGTGGAATTGTTTCGTAAGTATTACATCATTGTAATCCGAATAACATATTCTATTAGACAAATATATGATATATAGGGTATTTCATTTAAAAAAAAAATGATGTAGGCTGGTTATATGTCAGAAAATTGATAGTTTTGTCTTATACGTCACTTGGAAAAAGACTTGTATATATATATATATATATATATATATATATATATATATATATATATATATATATATATATATATATATATATATATATATATATATATATATATATATATATATATATATATATATATATATATATATATATATATATATATATATATATATATATATATATATGTGTGTGATGACACTATATTCCGGGATATCATCCGTTCGCTCGTTGAACTCCGACTGGAATCCTGCATCCGACTGGAATCCTGCATCCGACTGGAATCCTGCATCCGACTGGAATCCTGCAAATCCTGCATCCGACTGGAATCCTGCAGACGTTTCGCCAAAATCTCACTTGGCATCTTCAATGCTCGCGCTCCGAAAACACTTCGAACACTGCAGAATTCCAGTCGGATGCAGGATTTGCAGGATTCCAGTCGGATGCAAGATTCCAGTCGGAGTTCAACGAGCGAACGGATTATATCCCGGAATATAGTGTCATCATATATATATATATATATATATATATATATATATATATATATATATATATATATATATATATATATATATATATATATATATATATATATATATATATATATATATATATATATATATATATATATATATATATATATATATATATATATATATATATATATATATATATATATATATATATATATATATATATATATATATATATATATATATATATATATATATATATATATATATATATATATATATATATATATATATATATATATATATATATATATATATATATATATTCCTATTTTTTGCCAATAAATATGTGGGCGATTTTTGGGTTCATTCTAAAAAGACAACTTCAGAAAAATTAGTTTTTATTAGTTTTTATCTTTTTAAGTGCTCATAAATGAATGCAAGTGTCTCTACTTAACTCCCAAGAGAGAATGCGTCAAATGTTTGATCGTGATCCAACGTTGCCGGCTCTATTTTCTCTCTAAGCATAATAGAAACTAAGCAAAACTAACCAAACGCTTGCTGCTCCGGTATATTGTGAGATTATAAAGTAAAACAATATTAAAATTTTGCCATTTTTATTATAAATACTTGAGTTAAGCAAATTTAAGACGAAAAATTTCTTTTATAGGACATACGAAAAAAAGTTTTGTGTAAAAGTTTCTTGGATTCTATTGCAGATTTAAAATATTATAATTTTGTTGATACAGGGTGACACAAAAGTGTCCCCCCTCCCGACATAAACTTTGTTATTTTAAATAGTACACCCTGTATATTTTTGGAATCCTTGGTTAAAATAAAGGTCACTCTTGCTTAAGAAAGAAATTCCTGTTTTCTACTTTCAATATGGACTAATATATACAAGAACCAACCCGCATTGCATTACATTCTATGTCGCTCTTAGATTTAATATTTACCAATGTAAAAAACGTGTCTGATGTAGGAGTTGTCGACAATAACATCGCTGATCACTTTTTGACATACATAAAATTCAGTCTAGACTTGCCAGATAATGAACCTGTAAGTTTTTATTATAGATCATTAAAAACCATTAATCTTCAGGAGTTTAAGAGGGATCTACTAGATTTACCGTTAAATAACTTACTTTATTTTTGTGACATTGAAGAAAAGCTAGGAAGAATAAAAACTATAACTATACGCCTTGGATAACAGAAAACATAAAACTGCTACAAAAGCTGAGAAATAAAGCGCTAAAAAAATTTAAACTGACTAAACTTCCAGCACATTACGAGCATTACAAACAATTACGTAATTATGCAAATTCGGCCATTAGATCAGAGAAAAAAGCTTATTTAAGAACTAAGTTTTGTCATGGTAATGCCAAAGAGAAATGGAACGAACTAAGGAAACTTAATGTTGTAAAATGTCACAGGGGTACTTTGCCAAGTCACTTAGATAATGTCGATCAAATTAATAATTTTTTTATAAACAGTGTGGAACATAATGATAGCCCCAATCAAAAACTGCTGAATTTTTATTATAATAATAGGTTAAATGACAGAACGGATCACTTTGACTTTGTATTGTCCACGGAAGATGAGATTCTCAACATTCTGAAAAATATAAAATCTAAAGCTGCGGGCCATGATGATATAAATATATCATTAATACTTCTTTGCTGTCAACAAGGCCTATTGTTGACCATTATTTCACTTATTTAATTTTGGTTATGTAATTATTTCTATGTAACTTTGATGGGTATAACAATAAATGTATTATTATTATTATTATTATTATTATTATTATTATTATTATTATTATTATTATTAAATAATTAAAGCTTCTAGGTTAACTAAACAAGGTGAGAAATCTTGAATAAATAAATCTATAAATCAAAAAGTGATCTAAAAAGAGTTCGTTAACTCGATCCGTAAAGTTTAGCTTATAATGTTCTCCTTAAAATGCTTGTTTCATCTGGCATCAAAACAATAAAGAAATATCAGAATATTTAAAAATATAGTTGGCTATGACATCACAATCTTGTTTTTTGACGCATTAAGGTATAAACAAACTTTGAAATTTTCTGTTTCTTTTTGTTGTTTTTTATATTTCTATTTAAAAAGTATGGAGTATAATACCTTTAAAAGAAGTAGTATCATGTCTTTGTTATTAAAAAAAATATATATTGCCAATAAGTGACCTAATGAACGGCACCACCTATTTAAATTCCGAAATATACACGGTGTTCCGTTTAAAATAACAGAATTGATGTCGGGGCGGACACTTTTTTGACACCATGTAACAACAAAATTATAATATTTTAAATCTTTCGTATGAAACTTACAGGTTTTGATACATGACAACTGAATTCGCGTAAATTTTCAATACTCAATAAAATAGTTTCTATAAATTTTCTCTCACTTTTACTCACGGTGAATTTTGCAATGGGTCTTTCTGGATCTCTGGGTTTCATTTAGACGGGCCATATTTATTTTCCGCACTGACAGAAATGTAATTATAAAATTTTTACAAATTTACTGGTCCTAGATACTTAGTTGTTCGTTTTAACATTAAATTTCGGGGTTTTATCCTTGAAAACATAAATTATGCTTAAATTTTGGCGTAGAATCGAAAACGGATTTTTAAAAAAATGGTTCTCCCTATAACTTCCTTTTTTTTTGAGGAGTATATTTTGTGTTTACTGCAAAAAATGGGCAAGAATACATTAAAGTTGACGCTCACTTTTCTTGAAATCATTCACCTGTTTTTTATTCAAATATAGGAGTTCTTTACTTTTTATAATTTATATTGACTCAGAATAATTTAGGTGACTCAGAACCAGTGCTATACAGAGATATTTATTTAACTTAAAGTGTGTCCCAGTAAGGTGCGATATTAGGATCCACGGAAATTTGAAAAAAAAAATATTCAATCAATCGGTCAAGTATAAAAAATCTGTATATTAGTTTCGACTTTCTGAAATGGTCACAAGGGGGCGTAACTGCTATCTATAATGAATTTCAAACTCATTTTCCATAAATAAATCTCCAAGTCTTCAAAAAACTTAAAGTCGTTAAAAAGACTTTTCCTAGGCCAAATTCCTGGCTCCACCTGCTGACAAGGTAAGCAACCACCATCGCGTCATTTATAGCACGATTTATACTTTAGGAAAAGCTGTTTCTAACGGCTTCACGTTTAGTAAAATGCGTTAAGCAAGAAAAAAGACCTGAATTTGTGTCAGCGTTAAAATAGTATGTTTATATATTTATTTACTTTTTCAAAATTCCCTAATACGATGTTTTCGTTCCAGGACTATCAGTTCCTAGAATCCAGCACTTCCCAGCAGTTCGAAGATCCGGATTCCGGATCCGAATCGTGGGACAGCGTCACCTTCATATGGGTCCAAATCGCCTGGACCGCGGTCTTCAGCGTAATGATCGTCACCGCCACCGTAGGAAACTGTATCGTCATCTGGATCGTGATTGGTAAGCGATAAAGCGCGGGAAAATTTAAGTAACAGCAGTGGCAGTCCAAATCTAACACTGTAAAGAAGGAACATCGGCAAAAGAGGTTATGTTTCACGTTTTGTGTACGCCGCAATGTTATACGCAATGTATAATTCGACCAAAAATATAGTGCATTTACGTTTTATGAATTCTACAGTACCGCAGTAAATGGACTGTTGTAAATTTGGTTAAGCATTGATGCTGAGTGGTATTTTCGAATAAGTAGAACCGTTTATCTTAACTTCCATGATGAGGAGAGATATTTTAACTCACTTATACTTTTTGAAATTGTTATATATACGAGGGACAACTTTTCTATTTTAAATAGAACAACCTGTATATGATAGTGTCTCTAAATTTTTCGAAACTTTCTAGGCATATCTATATCTACGTCTCACCGCTTCTGGCACATTTCGAATTTTAAATCAAATCACTCCCACTCAATGCATTTCGTATAAGTTTGGGGTTGCTTTTCTTATAAAAGCTTAAATTCAGTGGTCCGTTTTGATATTTTCAATAATAGATAAATACGGGGTGATCAGAAACTAACATTACAATTTTAAATGCTAATAATAATAATTGTTGGAAACCGATCGCATTTCGGATTTTAAAAAATTACTTTGTATAGGACCGCCTATTTGTGAAAGTTTATTATTTGGTCAAAAGTGACAGCAAAACATAACAAAAAAACAATGGGGCACAATTTTTTGGTATATCATTTAAATTTATTTGAGTTCTAGGGGTTAGACGACAGATCCTATTTTTATGATTTTCTCTTATTTTATTAAAACCCACGCGACTTTCGGGAATGGTCGACATTTTATACAAAGGACCTCCCGATCCACGTGCAACGCGACCCGCTTGTTTTCAGTTCAAGATGCGAGACGATAGTCGAAAGTTTTCCATTGATGGAGTGCCTAGGCAACGCAAACAAACGGTTACGAGTGGAACGCCAGTTACTGTGTTACTGTGCTACTTTCCGACAGTCGTTTGAGCTTCGAAGCTCCAACTTCCTTATATACAATTGGACTGTTTAAACCTATTTTTTTGAGAAAACTGCCTTTAACTGTTTAATTTATGAAAATTTTGGTTTCGGAGAAATACATTATTAACGTATTTTTTTAAGGCAAATGCTTACTCAATTGTCTCGTGAATGAATACGACCTTCTTATTTTATATGGCAGCCACAACGATATATAGATTTGTTGATATCTTTTTTTATTGTGTGCATATGGCTGTCAATGTCAGATGAGGACGTAATTTTTATTCTTTATTGCATTTGGTATGTGGCCAAACTTTAGCTTTTAGTTCATTTAGCAATTTTAATTTTACGAGAACGTAGAGACTGTATTCTGTATCCTGTCCTCTTGTTTCCTCGCACATAATTCCCAAGTACTGGAAGCTACTAACTGTTTGTCCGTTCTCCGTTCTCGTCTTTTGGTTTTTCCTGAATAACTTTCGAACCGTTGAAGCTACAAAATTGAAATTTGCGTCCTTTTTAACCATCCACGAGGCACATAAGCTTATAAAAAATGGCCCTGATCCGACGCCAGTATCCATCTTTTTTCCGCGATTTTCGTCTGTTTTTTGAACATTGCTATGAAACACGATGAGTATCCGAAATTTAAAGCAATCGACTTCATATTTGACACATATATGCAGCTTAGCCCCGTTACGGAACCTATTGAAAATGGGATGGCTGGGAGGACGGGAAGTAGTTTAAAAAAATTAAAAATTGCGTGTGTAAGGGTCTACAAAAAACATCATTTTTTCAAAAACTAGTTGCGAGACCAAAAAAATTCTTCAACCAGAAGAAGCAGGACTCTATAAACTTTCATTCTTGACAATTTTTAAAAAATATACGGGGTGCGCCGAAAATTCGAAAAAACTGAAAAATGGGAAAACTGGAAAATTGGTTATAACTGAAAGACTATAATTCCGATCTCACTTTCTTTTATATTGCGATATAGCCCGCATCAACAGCAAAAACTTTTGTATTTAAGGTTTTCACCTATTATACAGGGTGTTCCAGAACAATATGTTTTCTTCCAAAATCGTTCATCCGATTCGTAAAATTTCTTAACCCGTAGACGCATAAGATCCAGTGCAGACATTTTTTCGATTATATACAGGGCCTTCAAATTATAGGCAAAAATCTAAAAGAAAATTGTTCTTTTACAGAGTAAATTATGAGCCGCAAATCAAAAATCGTAAAAAATATGGCTAATTGGTTTAAACGGTGTCATAGGCCGCATCAAGAGCTACAATTTTTGCATTTACGGTTTTCGTCTATCACATACGTTGCTCGGGATATTTGAAAAAATCCATATTGAAATCGTTATTTCGGGGCTGTCAAGACGCGATGACGTCATGATTGTTACGGCGCATTGCATGCTTTCGGAAAAATCTTATTTTCTCGAAAACCATTTATTATTTTCAAAAATTTCTTGAACGCGGAAACGTGGAAAATCCAGCGCTATAACCTCTACTTCGGGAAATGATTCAATCATATACATATATATATATATATATATATATATATATATATATATATATATATATATATATATATATATATATATATATATATATATATATATATATATATATATATATATATATATATATATATATATATATATATATATATATATATATATATATATATATATATATATATATATATATATATATATATATATATAATTAACAGAGAAAAACAGCTTCCAAGCACGGGAAAAGAAAACGAAAGATCCGAATCGAAGGCTCACGTTTTTTTTTTCTCCGCCCTTTGGCACTCCCCCTCCCCCGCTGCCCCGTAATCGCCGACTCAAATTCGAAAAGCGCGCGGCTAATTAATTTAATCGTTTACCTGCAATTTGCGAGTATTAATTAAAAAAATTAAAAAAACAACCGGGTTTTCCGAACGGCCCTTGCCCAATTTAAATTCGGAAATTCGATTTCATTAATAAGTCGGCCATTGTTGCCGCGGTACGTATTAAATGAGGTATTAACGCCGGCAGGTCGTTTATTAATTGCCGGCTAGTTTGAAATTTATGTCGAGGCTGAAGTTTAAAACTGATTATCGGAGTTTCAAAATGTATGAATCGTTTCCCGTTACAAAGGGACTAACCAAAATGAACAAAGCGCTTTGTTTCAGCCCACAGGAGGATGAGGACCGTCACCAACTATTTCCTCGTCAACCTCAGCATCGCCGATTTGATGTTAATCACCCTCAACTGCACCTTCAACTTCACCTACATGATTCAAAGGTAGGCGTACTCACTTGATAGATATAATCGCGATTCTAACATTATTCAACGTTCTTCCTCATCTTCGACTTCTTTTTCCCTCGATCCTGCCTTCGATGATGATTTGGAGGGCAGGGAGTTGCTGAAAACTGTCCCATATGAACCCTAATGGAACCAAGCATCCAGTAAGCTCTACCTATGACCGAAATATGTAACACCTAGGACTGGAGAAGACCCTAACTCAAATCTAGTTTATGCTGCTGTTATAGAAAGAACTTTCTATTGCTATTCGATCTGTTGCATTCATTAGAGTAGGACGGTTCGTACTGGCTCAATGAATTAGAGAATTAGAGGTCTTCTAAACATGTCCTACATGTATTGTCCATGATGTGGAGGTGCCCTGTTAGCATTCCTGGATTGAGGATCTTGGACCGCCTTTTAAAGTCTCGTAATGCAGAGAGCAAGCAAGAACTCTGTATAAAGTTTATAACAATGCAATAGATAGCCTACAAAAAAGTGCTAAAGAATCATTAAGAAAACAAAAACGGCACATCAGCGACGAATTATAGTGGAATGAGGAAACAGAATTATTAGTAAAGGAGAAAATGGCGTCCTAAAAAGAGGAAGATTTGGTAATTACATAATTAAAATTGATGCAAAAGAGGAAGGGTGAGCTCTGGGACCGAAAGTGTCAAGAAATTGACAAATATATTGGAAGGAAAAACATGGAAGTTTGGGAATTTATTAAGAATGTAAGAACATCACACGAGCAACATACGCGTATGCAACTCATCGAAAGCAATAAATGGATTACAAAGGATTACTGACAGAAGACAGACAAGAATTCAATTATCAAGATAAATACATGGTGAACAAGTTGAAATCCGCAATAAAGAGTCTAAAAAATGGAAAAAAGGCCAGGTCCTGAAGGCAAAAAAGGGCTAAGAATAAACGACAGCGAAACAAAATGTTTCATTTTTGCTGTTTTTTTTAATTCAATTTAAACTTCATAGCGTCGACTTCCCTTTAAAAAAATGTATATTTTTTCGAAAAACCTAAATTGTTTTTTTGCTACAAGAAAACAAAGTTTAAAAAAAAATGGTAAAAACTTAGGCTTCTTCAGACCTATTCAGTTGAATTTTCAGGTCTACTAAAATGGAAAAACAAAAAAAAACTATTTTTTTTCATTTTTTTTTCAAATGTTGAATCAAAAACTTAAACGGCTAAACTTCATCGGAAAAATCAAAAGGGTTTCATTCCCTTCCGCCCCTTACAAGGACGTATTAATTAGCGGAGTTAACTCGGGACAAATTTCAGTATATAAACAGGCGCAGTCGGACAGGACCACACAAAGCGATCGTCGATATAAATTGCATCGTCGCTTCCGGGAAATGTATTTTTCGACATTTTCGAGTTTGAATTTATATCAAAAACCCACGCGACTTCCGGGAACGGTCGACATTTTATACAAAGGAAACGGTTGTTTTGAGTTGAAAATGCGAGAGGATAGTCGAATATTTTCCATACCAAGATATTTAAATACATGGTGAACAAATTGAAATCACTATAGAAATGACCAAATCCGCAATAAAGAGTCCAAAAAATGGAATACCGCCAGGTCCTGAAGGCATTTCCCCTGAGCTGCTCAAGCATGGAAGCGAAACATTATATGCTATACTAAGTCATATTTTCAGCTTGTACTTTAATGGAAATCCAGTTCCAGGAGCATTGAAAATGGCTTATGTCACCCCAATTTACAAAAAAGGCAATAAGAAGCATTGTGAGAATTACACACACTGACAGCCGTCAGTGGCTAGTAGGATGAGTAGGTTATATAGACGACTATTACGAAACTTGCTGGAAGGTCTTGTAGCGACAACTTATTCTGCCTCAAGCAAATCATTGAGAAGAAAATTGCCATAAACATAAGTACACATATAACATTTGTTGATTTTCAAAAAGCTTACGATACAATACAAGACTTTTTAAAATCCTAAAGGGCATAAACATCAATCATACACTCATTGCTGCACTGCATGATTTGTATAGTGGAACAACATCAACAGTGAAGTTAAGGAAATATGTCGCCCAGGAATTTCCATTAAATAAAGGCCTCAGACAAGGATGCTGTATATCCCCAACACTGTTTAATGTTAAAATACACGGGATGGGGAATGATCGAAATTATTTTCATTTATTTTATTTTATCAAATCATATTTCCTTCACTTATACAGGAAGGACATAATACGAGTGTTTTGACGGGAAAACCATTTTTCTAAACTGGATAGGACATCTTTGCTTTGCTTTGCTTTCCAAACAGTTTCAGGTAAAACTTTATTTCATGCTCTTCATTTATCTATTTTTTCCTCTACACTCAGTTTGAACCAGACCGACTTTATTTGAGAACGCATGAAAATCTTCGGTTATCGACCTTTCCTTAAGTTACATCCTTAACCATATCAATTTATTTCACTACCGAGGGTGTGTTTTAATTTTCGGCCTTTTCGAATATTGCCCATAAATTTGACTATGGTCTTTAAAAATATGCCCATGTTGTGTCCATTGCACTCATACAGATTTATTGGAATCTGCGGAAATATAGTTGTTTATGTATTAGTAAGCTGTCCATCTAACTGTCATTGTCAATTAGGGACTTTTATTCGTTGTCACACATAATTTTAGTGGGCAAACTAACATGAATTCGAGCCATATCGTACCAGCATATTCCACCAATTACATGAAAGGGATGCCGGTAGAGGAATACAACACATATACAACGGGTTGATTGGAAAATGCAATGAAAACATGGAGCACAGAAAATCCTCATGCTGTAGCGTATTAAAATCTGCAAGATCGCTTCCGACTAGGAATTTTCCCAGGAAGATTTGTTAGACCTTATTTATTTAACGTCAAGCCTTGGCATTAATTCTTGCTAGAAGTATTTATTATCGGCATCAGTATAATCAAACTCCTCTGGATTTTTTTTTTGGGGAAATTAAAATATCTTATATTTAAAGATAAAATTTTCAAAACCAAAGCAGAATTAGAGGAAGCAACTCGAGAAGCGTTTGCTTAGATCACTCCTATTGAGTTAGTGAGTAGTCGGCATTTAGTTAGAAAATGGTGCGTTAAGTATATTGAAGAGGGCGGCACCCAATTTGAACATTGACTTTAAAGTATTTTAATATAATTAATCCTCCCATTTAAGATTGTTGATAGAAGAATTGATTACATCTGCTCTTCTCTCTAATAATTTCCACATTCCGCATTAGAGATATTAAGCGCTCCATTACACTTCACCACAATCTTCTAAAGAAAATAAGTCCGACAACAACCCCAAGGAACAAAACGTCAAAATCAGATTTACTACTTGCATTACATCTAAAAGCAAGCCAATTATTACAAAATATACCGACCGCCAATTTTACAACAGGTTCATAAACTTAACAGACACAACATTTTCTAAAAATGAAGATGAATTCCTGGAAAAAAAGGTTTCAACTTTAGCTTGCAGCACTCTTACATTAATAGAGAATTAGACTGTTTAGGGATCGATTGTGAATTAACAATTAAGGACATTAACGATTCTAGTTTAAACGAATATGTATTAGCGAATATAATAAACTCTCACTTAATAGATAACAACAAACACAAAGACATTTCTCAAATGTCACTAGTAAAAACTATCAAAAACAAAGCTTCTGAAAATAACATAATATTTACACGTGCAGATAAAGGGAAGACAGTGATAGCTATCGATCTCCCAGAATATATTTCAAAAACCAACAATTTTCTTAAACCAGAACTTTTCCAATGTATCAAACACGATCCTACCGAGTTATATCAAAGACAAGCCAAGGAAGTTATTACTAACTCCACACTATTTAGTGACAAAGATACATATTTTTTAACAATGATGATTCCACAACCGCCGAAATTATATTCTTTAGCTAAATTACATAAACATGCATTACACATTACATACCAGTCATGTACGAGCTCCAACAGTTAAACTCTCAACAAAATTAGTAAATATTTTAAAGTTCCACATAGATTTTAAACCATAATTTGCAATAAGAAATTCTTTTGAATTAATCAACAAAATTAAAGATATCAAAATCCACTTTTGTCTTTTGATGTAAAAAACTTATTTCCCAGTATTCCACCTATGGATGTGACGGATTTAGTAGATTTCACCGTAACTCGGAAACAGGTTAACCCATTGCTGAAACAAGATTTATTAGATTGCTTAATAGTATTTTTATACCAAAATTATTTTGAATTTAATGGGCAGATTTACATCTCTAAAGAAGGTTTGATTATGGGAAACCCACTTAGTCCTTTGTTAGCCGAGATTTTTATGGATAATTTAGAAAATATCATACTAGAACATCCTTTAAGTAAAAGTTTTCTATGGTGGTATAAATACGTGGATGATGTCTTTGCTTGCTTTGTTGGAACGGACGTATAAAATTCACTGTCGAGATTGAACAGGATAACTGTATTAATTTCTTAGACTTAACTATTACGAAAACGCAAAACAAATTAGATTTTTCTATTTACCATAGAGCTTCATACAAGGACAGAATCATACATAACAGCTCAAATCACCCTTATACACAAAATGCCTGCACTTCACCCTTTTATACACAGACTTCTTAATACGCCACTCTCAACAGAAAACTACAACAAAGAACTTAACATCGTTAAATAAATTACACTGAACAACGGCTACAATCCGTCCATTATAGATAAAATTATAAATAAAAAACAAATCCATACAACAGTAAACTCCCTTCATTCGAAACCTAATACAGAACACGAACAATTTAAAACAATTACATACATAGGAGAACCTAGTGAAAAAGTTTCAAAACATTTGTGAAAATGTGCTTTAAAAATAGCTTTCAGAACTTACAACACAATAGGAAAATTTTTAAAAAACAATAAAACAAAATGTCCAAAATCTCAAAAATCCTAATAGATCCTTCAAGAGACGCATTAACGAACATAAAAGAGC